CAGTTCAAATCTTTGGTGCACCAAGAGATGAATTGAAGTGGAAAACATCAGTCATAAGAAATAATGGTAAGCCTAAAGTTATTATATTTCAGCCCTAGCCGCCTTGATGTGCTTTTGCGGAACTCGTGATTTGTTACAGGGTTCAACCCTATTTGGAACCAGTCCTTCGACCAGAAACTCTATTGCCCTGAAATAGCCATGTTGCGCTTCTGTGTCAAAGACTTTGATTCCACTACAAGCAATGATTTCATTGGCGAATTCTCTATACCATTGTCCAGTGTGCGAAGAGGTTGGTTCTGTCCCAGTTATTTGAAGGTAAATTCCACGAAAACGGAATAGGCACTGCTTCACAACAGCTGGAAATTTCTGTTTAACTGCCTCTTTTTTTTCTACGATGAGGTGCAAAGAGATTCATCTGGCGCGGCGTTATAAGGGATATCGCGCGAAAGCTTCATTGGCCTAAATAGAAATGGCATGCCATGTCGACTCACCAGTTCTTGCTACAGCGAGAATGATGCCACCTGACACTTACAGTCCTTATCCCTGAGACGGAGTAGGCGTGGCATTTGAACATGGCACAGAATGCGTTACTCGTGGGATATTCCAGTCTGAAACAGCTGTCACCTTGTTCTGAGCTCAACAGAGACACGATCAGAATTGTTTCAAAATAAAAATACTTCTCCATAAGCACAAAAGCACAATTACCGCCACGTTTCGTCGAAGTACGCAGCCACGCCTACCCTATTTCAGAGATTTTGAGAATACGTCCATTTATACTTGTAGCTGCGGTCGAATTTACTACAAGGTAGTCCGCTACTGTTGAACCACCACCCATTGAATCTTTCGCTTTGCAAACAAGCGATACCTTTGGTTGAGCTACAGTTCAAATTCCAGTGTCTGAGTTGGTTCCTCAACAACATTGTTGTAAAAGTAGATAAAGAATTGCAGGCAATAGAGACAATTCTGGCACCGCGTTTTGCACGAATCCATTAAAAGCAGGGGGTACGATTGCTGGAGGCGGGCGGTTGTTGTCAAATGTCATTGGTAGAAGGGCCGCGAGAGGGCGTGGCTACACCCCTCTGAGCCCTTCCACAATGACCTTGGCGAGAACGCTCACTCTAGCAGTCGTACCCCGTGATGTTAAGGTTCTCGTTGAAGTTCAATTTTTTTCTGAGTCAAAAGTGTAAACTAATGTTTGTTTCAGGTTACTCGCAGATCCGCTTGAATACCGGCTTTCAACATGTTTTCGATGAAACAGCCACTCTTTTTGTTAGAATTGCCATAGATGACCTGTAATTCTTTTTTTGACGTAATGGCTCAAAACTAACATTTGAAATGATTTACATAGTTCCTATTCGCACATACATATAACTGATGCATATGGCTTAGATTCACTTGTTTGGGTCGCTTGCTTTTCCCGATGCTGTTTCCTATCCACGAGTATATTGAGCGATAGCGGGGATCAAATCGCATTATTGAATGATAAATAGTTCTGTTATGTTTTTCTCTTCTTATAGAATGACGGACAAGACAGTTACCACTTGTATCACCTAAGTACCTAACTATACTCGAAATCCGTGAGATCGGGTAGGCGTGGCAGCGTATTTGATTTTAAGAATGGTGGCGGTCCAGGTTTTCGTGAGATGTTTTCATTTCGGAGCAGCCGTAATCATATCCACATCTAAACAGAACAACGATAGCAGTTGTTTCAAATTGAAGTATCCCACGAGTAACCCGTCCTATGCCATGCTCAAAAGCCACGCCTACTCCGTCTCAGGGATAAGGAGTGATGTTCTCGTTGATCACCGAATTGCTCGAGCGGGCGCCAGTAACCTCTCCATTCGTTGCCGCAACGGTGACCCAATCCGTTCTACGTGCTTGAGGGACACGATGAAGTCCAGACCATTTGTTCAGACCTTCCATGAAGTACTCTGACCAAGGTAATTATTCCTGATTAAAGGCACAGAGTACGAAGGTGGTTGTAATGAAGTCTAAATATGTAACACGAAATGCTAAGGCACCGCTCATAGTTCGCGACAGTAGTGGCGATCGCCGCGATCGTTGGTACGCGTCAGAGCGCGCCCCAACGCTATTACTTGGACCGCTCCGAGTGCTATTAGGAGGAATTGGCTTAATTTCCTGGTTTTTTTTCCTTTTAATTGCAATTGACTCAGGTACTAGAGTTCGTTTTGACTCAAGGAAAGGTGGAGAAACTTAATGGACTTTTCCTTATTCCGTTTCTTTTTTGATTCAGGATAGAAATGAGCAAAAAGCAAGGGGCTTCATTCAGGGTAAGTTTCTTATTGTTTCTTTTTTCATTCTTCGAGCTTATACATGAACTTATGAAGTTTCTTCCTCCTCGATGTTGCATAAAAGAATGTGTTCTGATTCCTAAGTGATTCCTTCCTCTTCCGTTTCTTTTTTTTCCGTTTTTTAATTGGCTCGTGAATTATAAATGTTTTGGAAGTTGAACAGTTTGGCCAGTAGGAAAGTTTCAAGACACTTATATAAATTGAAACAATGAAAACAAAAGAAACAAAGAGAAGCTCACCTATTAAATGAAGTTGCACTTATCCCGGCCTAAATAAAAGGTGAAACCATCTCCTCCCTTATATTCCAGATCCTCTTAGGTAGAGAAAGTCCTCAGTTTCCAGCTAGTAGCCATTATTAAGAGAAAAGGTATTCACAAGTTGGATTTCCTTATTTATCAAAGCGAGCGGTCCATAATAGCGTTGGGGCGCGCTCTGACGCGTACCGACGATCGCGGCGATCGCCACTGCTGTCGCGAAGTATGAACGCTGCCCAGGTCACCCAGCTGTGAAGCAAATGTTGTCAGGAGTGCTTCAAATCAGACCCGCCCAAAGGTACGTCCGTGCGGTCACTTGACGAGCAGACGCCGCCTTCTTTTTTACACTTTTCTCCGTGCATGGTGGACCTGTCCGCATGCATAAAGAATGTACTGATTTCGCTGCTCAAAAACACGTAAAGAAAGAGCGAGCCGCTCGCGGCGGAATCACTACGCCGCCCACTGACGACGCCCAGCTTCCATTGCTGTCTGCTGCCTAATGGCAGTTGTTCCGCTACTGACCTTCTCCATTTCGAATGGTGAGAATAAGGTGACAAGGGGACCGTGCTGATAGCAGCAAGAGGGGAATCGCCCGACCACGTCCTTTCTCCCCCTTATGCACGTACAAAAGCGATCCGAAATGGAGTTGTCTATGGGGCATCTCGGGCGGGTTTTTTCTACTTTTCCTTCAATTTGTTTGTCTTACCATCTTGCCATTATGAGCCCTTGTAGAGTCCAAGCTCAATCGAGCGAGCTCGCGACAAGCTTCTGGAAGAGATGTGATTCATCAACGTGTGGACCTGTAACGCAAGCTGTGAAGGGAAAGGAACAATGATAGCAATGCGACAAGAAGCATCGTGCCGGTGATAGGCGAGGCAAGACAACAACACCGCTGGAGAATCATATCGAAAAGCACTGCGGATACGACTTCAATACCAGCTGTAGTTTTCTAGCACGCGAGATTGGGAGATTCCAGAAGGGCGGATGAGGCCATGTGGATTCCCTAGAGGGACGCTGGGATGAACAAACAAAAAACAAATGAAGTAAGAAATTATGCATCACTACAAAAAAATCTATGTTGACCTCAGTGCGAAGACTTTAGCGAAGGTGATAACTGTATTGAATCGGTCGATACACAATCCCTTGGATGAAGCAGATGCGGCTACGAGCATATTGTGAGTTCGCTGCGGGCGTGTCAGGCGGAATGAGTTTGGCGCGGTGCCAAACCCGTTCTCCACCAGTTGTTAAAGCGAGCAAATGATATGACTGTATCATATCGTTCGTATTACTCGTTTTCTACCACTTTTTGTCGCGCTTCAACAAGAAGGCAGAGAACGGCTTTGACGGGGTGACACACTCATACTGCCTGACACGCCCAACCGTCCGCAGCGAACTGTAGTTCATTTGAAGGCAGTGGAAGCGTGCTTTTGGTGTGGTATTTTCATTTACAGCTGTGATAACGTCTCTGTCACAGAAATTGTATCAAATTGTAACGTCCTACGACTAGCCCACCCTACGCTATGTTCAGTTGAAGTAACCTACGCTGTGTTCAGTTGAAATAATTGGGATGTAGAGGGCATATTCAGCAGTTAACCTTGGATGGGAGCTGTACAAAATCGAGTTGCAATCAAAATTCCTAAGTTTCGATGGCGTGGCCGCGTACTAGAACTGAACGTGGCTTCGGCCTAACTTTTCCTAGATATTTAACCCATTCGTGACAATGTCCGCCACTGGTGGTGGACACCGAAATGTCCACTTCGGACCATGTCCACCATATGTGGCGGACGGGCTTTTGATGAAATTTTTAGAAACAGTTCGAGTTCTTCGAGGAACTTTTCCCAGTGGTACAAGTCTTCATACCTTTGTTAATTTATGCAAATAGTGGACCAACGAGATCTTCAGATATAAGGGTCCCAGGCACGATTCAACTAGCAGCACCTGAGCCCAAAACCTCTAGAAAAATTTCTGCTGAAAAATTGCCGGTAGGGGTTACTCAGTGCCCCGATCACGAATGTGACGTCCGTTTCTGGCGCCGGCGGTGTTTGACGCCATTTGGCACCATTAGGCGCCAATTTGGCGCCACCACTTTTTTCATCAAAACCGGGGCGCCAGAATGGTGCCGCGCCAACTCACCATTATCTTTGTTGGTCTGGTCACACATATGACGTTCGCTACAGGTCCCAGCGCCAACTGGCGCCAATGGGCGCCAATTTGGTGCTATCACCTCTTCCACCCAAATTGATGGGAACTTGGATACTAGGGTTATTCGCTGTCCTTATTATTGATATGACATTCATTTTTAATGAATAATAAGGAATGTTAGCGTAGGGCACAAGTGTATCATGCAATGCTGAGGCTGAGCTTGTCTTAGGAATCAGCCTTTTAAGATCGCCCATGGCGCTCGTTTCATAAGGCAGGGATAGCCGAGTGGTTAAGAGTGTAGACTCACGTTCACACCCTGAGCCACGAGTTCAATCCCTGCCGAGGCACAAACCTGCCTTGCAAAAATTGCAAAAATGGGGACGATACCAGCGTCAGGCCCAGGTTGACAGGCCGGCTGATGGAGGAACCCGTCACAACAATCATGACAAGTCGCAATAGAATCAGTGTTAATGCTAGGACGTCACCCGGAAGTGGCGCGCAGAACCCTCGCCCGAGTTCTGTGGTCAGTATGCGAGGGCTACCGAGGGGTGAACGACCTCGGCCAAAGAAGCTAGTTCGAATTGGGACCACGTGGGGTCGCTTACCGGGAAGTCTCGTGAGGTTGCCGACCTCATGAGACGGAGGAATATCCAAGTCCTATGCCTTCAGGAAACGCGATGGAAGGGTGCGAAGGCCCGCGAGATTGGAGAAGGCGTCTACAATGGAGCAGACACCAAACGGAATGGCGTGGCCATAGCGGTGGCAGAATCCCTCAAGGACTGCGTCTCCACTGTGAACAGGATCAGTGATCGCATGGGAGTGAGAATGGACACGAAGGAGGGGTACTGGACAGTACTGACCGTGTACGCACCACAATCCGGTTGCTCCGAGGCGGAAAAGGATGAGTTCTACCTGACCCTGGACGAGGCCATAAGATCGGTTCCGGAAGATGACTACCTCACCATAGCTGGGGATCTGAATGGCCATGTGGGAAATGACAGAAGGGGTCTAGAAAGGGTGCACGGAGGCCAAGGAGTAGGTGCAAAGAACGCTGAGGGAGAACGGATCCTTGACCTAGCCACAGCTCACGACTTAGCAATCTGTAGCACCTTCTTCGCGAAAAGGAGGACTCAGAAGATAACCTACAGCAGTGGAGGGAGACAAACGGAAATCGACCATGTCCTGGTCAGAAGATCGTCTCTCAAAACCGTCAAGGATATCAAGGTACTGCCTGGGGAAGAGCTGGGCCCTCAGCACAGGCCTCTCCTGGCAGACATCGCCATAGACCTCCCCAAGAAGAGGTGAGAGCAGAGCGAAGAATTCGGTGGTGGAAAATGCGCAAGGTAGAAAAGGATAGCCTCGGCCGAAGAATACTGGAGGCTGGGCTCCCAGACCCACATGGGCCAGTCCAGGACACCTGGACCTACGCAGCAGAGGTCATCCTACAGTGTGCAAAGGAAGTCCTGGGAGAGACGCGAGGTGGTATCAGAGGAGACAAGGCAGCCTGGTTCTGGAACGAGGAAGTCCAGGGGATCGTCAAGCAGAAGAAGGAAGCATATAAACGCTGGCAAAAGACACGGAGCCCAGA